TAAATGCAATTTACACGAGGCGTCGTAGGTCAACATGATGTGGAAAATTCCGTGAAACTTTATGTATTTGTTTTTGATCGATGATTGTGCAACCAATGCCTTAATTAGTGATTTATGCGTGTCTAGTTAATCTGATTCAACGATTTATTGTTATATCTCAAGATTCGCAACCTTATTTCGATTATGTGCAATTTTGTTTCACTCGATGCTTATCACGTGACCGCTATCTCCATGTGTGATGTAATTGACTTGTATCGCAACACCTACTTCTGTATTTTTATTGTTCGCTATTATTGGTCTGTAAGCCGCGAATATTACCAATGTGTGAATCATATTTTATTGTCTAAAATTATGTGTACTTGTATGGTAAACCTCTGGTTTTCGTCTCAGTGAAAAAGTACCTGGGTTATATGGTGTCATCAGATGGCAAGGATGAAGCTGATATGAAGCGACAATTGCGGTGTATTTATGCTAGGGCAAATTTTATTTTACGAAAATTTATAAAAAGTTCAGAGTACGTTAAGTGTTTGTTATTTAGAACGTATTTATACAGTATATATTGTTTGAATGTTTGGTGTGATTATCGTACACAAATTGTGAATACTGTGCGAGTGGCTTATAATAACGCTATAAGATTGGTCTTTAGCCTTAAACGGGCTAGCAGCGCCAGTGGTAATTGCGTGAGTAGAAATATTTTCAACTTTGAATCTCTTCAGCGCAAGGCATTATATAACTTCAGTCAGCGTCTACTTACGAGCGATAATGCTTTAATTCGTACTTGTGTCAACTCTGACAGTTTTTTTCTTATCCAAATTTTGGACTAATCTTAGACGTTGTATTTATTAGTGTTCGTGTTTGTTATGTATTTAATATGGGACTTTTTTGGCCTGAAATAAAGGATTAATAATAATAATAATAATAATAATAATAAAAGGAAATGCCCTGTGTGTGATATAGACAAAATTAAAGATGAAAAGCATTTTCTGCTTAACTGCAAATTATATGAAAATGAAAGAAACCAACTAAACACTGAGTCAAAAATTTCCCTTCCAAACATGACAGATGAAGAAAAAAAAGGATAGCTATGATGAATACATATATGAATGTTTCAAAATTAGAGAAAATAACATGAAAAAGCCTTCATTCTCATCTAAATAAACAACAATATTAATATCAAAGCATATCTGCAAGGTTTTTTTTTCTGTTATCATAATTTTTTTTTATTTTATTGTTTTTTGTTTCTTTTCATCTACACTTTATTGTAATTTAATTCAAGATCCTGTAAAAGATACGATATCAATAAAGTTTATTATTATTATTATTACAACGGACAGACGACGACAGGTTGGTCAACCTATGTCATAGCGGAGCTAACAATTGCTAAAATGAAGATTTTACTTTTTAGAGATGAGTGCCCTCTATGTCGAAATTAACAGATACTTTGTTAACAGCTAATAGCCACATATTTAGCGTTTGAATGGTTCATCTTTTTGTGTTTATTTTGTCAATATTTCAGAATCAAGGTTATTTGTGTTTTTGTTTGGTATTGCACTTAAACTACGCAAATATTCGCTCTGCATTTACACGCGATGTAGACATTTTATTCAGCATTTATCCACAGAGTTAGGTGGACTGAAACAAAATGGCGGCCTTTTTATTATGGAGAACTGGCAGACAGCTTCTGGTTAATGCAACGCAGATATCGCGTTGTTGTGTTGGCGCTCCCAAAACAGTACAGTCAGGATGGCAGCATAGATGTTTGTCTCTGTCCAGAAGAAGAAATATTTGCTTGTCATGTGTCCGGAACGGCGACTATCGCGATATATCAAATGAAGAATGGGAGAAGAAGCTAACCCCTGAGCAGTATCACGTATGCAGAGAAAAGGGAACCGAAATGCCATTTTCTGGCTTGTATTACAGTCATACTGATGAAGGTCTGTACAACTGTGTTTGTTGTGGTTCCGTTCTCTTCAGTTCAAAAGAGAAATTCGACTCTGGATGTGGTTGGCCTTCTTTCTATGCTGCATATGGCACTATCGATAATGATGAATCGCGTGCAAACATCTCAAGAAGACCAGACAACTCTCTGGGAATGGGTCGGATAGAAATCTCATGTAAACAATGTAATTCTCATCTCGGTCATGTCTTTGATGATGGTCCCCCGCCGACTGGTCTCAGATTTTGTATCAATAGTGAAGCTCTATCTTTTGAGTCCAAAGAATTAGATTAATAAGAGCAACATTTGTGTGATCAGTTTTTTTTAACAATTTAAAATAGATTCATAGGCAGTTCTGCATGCAAGTTTGATGGTTTGAAAAAAGGGACCTCTCTGGCCGGTTGTAATTTTATTACAGAAAAAGAAGAAAAAGATGTTGAGTAAAAACCTTTTGTATCAGCTTCCTTAAGGAATATTGCTAACTACTAAAAGTACTTCAGTAAAACGACAGCAAAATAAAACCAAGTTATGTTCTTGCAACCTGTTCTATCTTACAACCAATGTGCTTTCGCTGAGCTCCATGCAAGAATGAATCAACTTCACCACAAAAGATTCTCATTGAGAACGCTGACCTGTGTCTTTGTTGTTACATGTTAAGTCTCTTGAAGTCTGAGTCGGAGCCAGCTCCAACCCCGGTTATGTTGGGGTGAGAACAACACAGGTCTACTGTAGTTGTTTGTGGTTACACACATAAACTGACTTGTGTGGCTTCCATCGTCTCTGAAAATATCTAAATTTAACAAGCTTTTATCAAAGACAGAGTTCCTGTCAGTATTTGACTGACTTGACATTTAGGACACAGCTGGGGAAAGAATATCAAAGAAATTTCATTGAAACGAAAACAAATTGTTATATGGTTGCCTCCATTGTTTGTCAGTGCAATGGGCAATGACATTTAAAAAAAAAGAAATCAGTGAAAGTGTACACAAAACAAAATCACCACCAGTTTTTTTTAAATTGAATCACCACACATGTATAACTACTTACCATAAGTGATGTAAATACCAATTTTGAGTGATTTGGTCCTGGAACGACCATGAAATGCTTGATGACATGCTGAAATATTGTTTTTTGGTGTTCTTTTGCACAAAATAATGCCCAATGTCTAGTCTTTGTGCCAATTTTGAACAAAATCAGTCAAGTTGCAGCCACGAAATAAGAGGTCAATAAATAAATAATTTTTGATAATTGTGTGAATCCAATTTTTGTGTTGACATTTGGCAATTCATACAGTATTCAACTTACCCAAAATATCGTAATTTGATTCTCTTTCATATTTAAATGTAAGACGTCCATAACTGACATGATTCAGATTCTTTAGCCATTCAAAGTATGACACGGTTACACCACCAGCATTCAGGAATAGATCCTACATGTATGTACACACAAAAAATATTTCTTAGATAAAATGGTGCCAACCATGCAAAGAATAAATTTTAGCATGCTGAAGTGAATTGATAGATTCTGTTGGAACCAAGGTTTCATCCCAAACTCTTGGGCTCAAATCTTAACCGTGATCCAATATTTAATGGTCTGACTAAACGTAGATAACTTGGATTTGATAAGAAGTCTGTCCAGTTTAACTAAAACACTGACAAAAGAATTGTTCAGTTTAAAGGAATTTGGGGGTAAAAAACAAAAATGTTACTCACAGGTAAAACTAAAATATTTCTATCAAGAAGAATTTGTTCAGCAGCTGGAGTTGTTGGACCGTTGGCACCTTCCGCAACAATCCGACATTTCATATTTTTAGCAATCTCAGCAGTAATTGCTTTTTCAGCAGCACATGGTACTAATATGTCACACTCCTCTGTCAACAGATTTTTGTCGTAGGATTCTGCGCCAGGAAAGCCAACTATTGTACCATTATCCTGTCAACAGATCACAGTAGCTTTAATTTGTACACTCATGAAAACCCTTATTATGCCAAAGTTTTCCTCCTTGCTTGTTTTTTCTGATAGCTACAGTACCAAAGTCATTATTGCATATGGGGGGGGGGGGGTTAGAACATTTAATTATTTACATTATGAGCAAGAGAAATGGGGAACCTGCAATGCATGGCCATATCCCACCACCAAAATTTTAGCTACCCATTTTGGCAGGAGAACTATTTTGCAGTAAAAAATAACCCAACCAAGATAATGACAATTATTCTTAGACTAACATTAGTTTATTTATTGACAATGACTTTGTAAAGTAGAGCAGTAAGGTCACTATAAATTACTGGTATAATTAGCGACACATCAAAATACTTACAATTTTATAGTTTTCCAATTCTTTAGGGTCAATACCAGCTGGATTGAAGATACTACCATCTATTTCTGCAATTCCTATACATTTAGCACCGTGACGATGTAGATAACGCATACTGTGAAGACCTACATTACCAAAACCCTAGAGAATTTGAAATACACAGTAGCAACATTTTATTTATTGCTAGACTAATTTAAAGTTTTGACAAAGTACACAAGAGAAATGAAATGTTTGTAATATTCGTATTAATGGTATTACATTGATACAACTTACCTGGACAATAAATGTCTTGTCACCAAATCCAGGAGTTGTACCAATTGCACTCATATATGATGCTTCATGTACAAAGTTCTCAATACCATGGTAAATTCCCTACATGATAAAATTAATATGGAAATTTCAATCATGATAACATAAAAGATTGGCATGATAAATTTCCTTTGGTGAAGATGAATCATGCAACCAGAGACAGGCCCAACAAAAGGCACAATTTTGAGAAACTAACAATATCATAAGAGCAACTGTCATATCTGCAGTTTTCTATTCTTTTAGCTACGATAATATTTTGCAGTATTCGGATTTACATCATGTGATATTTGTTGACCTTGTGTTATTTTTTTGACCAAAGTCAACAATTTTCATTTTGAGGATGTCTAACAGAAATTTGAATGGTTTTGTTCAACTGAGAAGAGAAAGACTCGTCCTAAACTTATTTTGTGCCAATTA